TTGAATCGCTCGAGTAAATTTAAGATTTCTGTATGGGTGGAAATGAACGAGTCTGCCGCGTAAAGTATGGAGGGGTCGGTCGTAAGGTAGTAAGAAAGCACCTGGGTTCGAGTGGTTTTCAACCCTTATTCTTGAAGTCAATTCTCTTGTGCCTCTTATCTACTATCTGCGTCGACCTTTATACAGCCGCGTACACACTGGCTTTCAGTATCCTTAAAGTTTTCGATATATTCGTAAGTTGGGGTGTTGGTAAGCCTTTTTAATAATCACCGTAGTCAGGTTGGTATCGCCGTACGCTTTTCTATCGGTTGGCTCCCGAGGAAGAGCCGAACTTTAAATAAGATTCGGCAAACTCGCTCGAGTAACCGCGAAAGTGGTTGAAACGTTTGCGCAAAAGTTTGAATTTCCCGCCAAACTTAATTTTACACCCCTTTGGAATTAAGGGAGCACGCGCGATCAACGCGATTGGTACTTTGTTACGTTTTTCGTGAATATTTTTATTGCGTAACGAAAAAAAAAAATTCACCCTTCCTCATTTTCGAGCGCTTCACCTATACCCTCATACGTGTATACCTATATATATATTATATATATATATATATGTAAATTACGAACGAGTGTTGAACTTTGACACGGCACGTGTCACGTTCAAGTGCTCCCAGGGCAATTCGTATCCGAGACGTGCCAAAACGAGCGGGTCAAATGGCCATTAACCCCTCGATATGAACCTGTAGTCAATGTTCTATAGGTAATAATATTCTTCGAAAATTTCCACATATATATATATATGCATATGTATACACATATGAGAACTGATCAATTTCGAGAAACAATCATTGCCTGTCTAAATAAAACGTAAATTTTGTTACGGGAATAGGGGAAAAAAAACTGTAATTATGACATATATCGTCGCCCGATATTCCACCATATACATATAAATCATAAAAAAAAATAACTGCCATTTTTTTTAATATGCTCCAAAAATTTATCCAACGGGTGTAAATAAAAAAAAAAACAGTTTTCTTCGACAAGCGGCAAGGACGTAAACGCGTGTTATAGAGTTTTCTAATTACCAAACTGAGGAGAAGGTATGAAAATGAAAAGGGCATGAGTCCAAGGGTAGATTTTAATTATTGACGAAAATCTGTATGCTCCAAGTGCCTTTAAGGTAAATTTTGCGGAAGTTCTTGCAAGTAGCATTAACTTAATCTAATAGATCGTTTCGACTTGCCGGTTCTTACGATATTTCCAACCCCTAACTTTTCCACCCCTTCACCTTCCCCACTCGCTTCCACCCTTCTTCACCTTGTATCCGTATTCCTTCAGTTTTACGTCTCTTGCACATTTTCTCGTACCTTCTGCTATTGCCATTTGTATTCTTACTTTGACTACCTCCTGGCCCTCCCCCACCGCCCCCTACCAATCCCCATCCCCTAAATGAGATTATTTAATTACGAATCCTCACGGTTATTACGTTTAATAAAATCTTGCGTTGCTCGAGTCTGCCGAGAAATAGTCTCGAAGGGAGAAATCTGGCAGAGTATTATTTTACGTATCTCTTCAAAGAGATCATCCCTTTAATCGTTTTGAATTCCCTTTTACTCTTTACTTTCTTGTATTATCTTTTTTACAATACCAACATTTATCCTTCATTCGTAATTTTTTATTTCAAATTATCCGACGTAGATTCCCACTAGAACGATCGATGTCTTGTAAGATTTTCTTTGGATTTTTGTATTTATGACTTTTTCAAAAAAAAAAAAAAAATGTTTTTATAAGCAGTACACCTAATGATGTTTACCCAGTCCTCCTTGTACCTCGACAAAAGACGTTTCACGTCGTCTTACCTTATAACGACCAAAACTTCACGTTCGTCATTATCTTTAGGAGGTCCATAAGACCCCCTTAGGTTTATCATCAACTACGACCCGGTAGCCATTTTTTATCAACTGCTATCACTCGAGCCTGCTTACATCCTTTTACTACCGGATGACTTGAAAAACGAAAAAAAAAAAAAATACATCAGACACAAGATCTTAGTAGCTCTTAAATTCTAGAATAAATTCCAGGTGTTGAAGTATCTTAATTTCCAAAATTTTTTTGACCCACCACAGGTCGAGACTAAAAGAAGCGGAGCTCTAAGATTTTAATCGGGGCACTTAAAATTAGCTTGTAATTTTTCAAAAAATTTTATTTTGATTTTCAGCCCCGTGGCGGCTCCAGCATTTATTGACGTGCACTAATCGTAGGCGGTGCGTTTTGTGTCTTGTTTCCACCTTTTTCATACTTTTTCCTCCCCCACCTTCCCCACGACGCGTCTTTTATACGCAAAGCACAAGGGCGAAGTTATCATCTGAAATGGCTCGTGAGAGCGTTTAAGGGTGTGAAAGACAAGGGATGCGCGACGTATATTTACTCTGACATTCAACCCCACAAGGCGAACGACCCAACTACCAACCCCCCTGCCAAGGGTATATAGTCATATACTATATTCACATACAAGCACGGTTTCACCCCCCAAGCGCTTTGAGGCACGATGGATGGACGAAGGGATGGGGGGGGGGGGGGGGTATTT